GTCAGTTACAATTCATAGCTAAGAATAGCGACAATGAGCCTTACTAGGACCATAGACTACGTCAAATCAAATTTCCGCGTTTGTAAAGAGGGTAAAGAACTCGCATTTGAATTATCTGGAAGTAAATAAGCTTTCAATTCTTATAAACTTTGTTGCTTTACAAAATCAAAAATTAGACATTCCAGCCGAGAAACAAACTCGGTTGTAAAACGTGTGCCACTGTTTGTTTTGGTCACACTGTTTCACTACTACTGCGATCTTTCACTACACTTGCATGTGTGCTCTCGCTGGGATGAGATTGCTATAAATAATATCTCCGCTAATAATTTAATGAATTCTTATATTATATTCTTGACCCAACCATGCATGTACATCCAATTGACGATGTGTCCCCTAATTTTGCTAAAAATTCCTTTTCATGGTGTTGGAGCAAAGATGGGAATGTTTGGAGATACATGATGTAATACTAGAAATCTATTCCCCTTTCAGTGATTTTCAAAATGCCTTGAGCCATTTAAAACCATACCGGCACGTAGAGAGGTTGAGAAAGTTGTGTGACCCATTCGTTATTCTGATAATTTATGCCGAAGGGACGCTTTCAGGGAATTATTGTCTAACTCAGTAAACTAGATACGATTACGAATGATGCAACGATGAAAATTGAAAATTATTCGGAATTTTTTATTCTTAAATCTTTTACATCTTCCTTTATTTAACCTGGTTCTTGTATTATGTATTGCAGTGGCGGTCAGTGATCCAGACCTTGTGCTAAGGGGGAGGGCCCGGTTTTTTGTGACTTCCCCTGTCGGCTCTTCTTCCTTCTGCGGCTCTTTTCCTTCTTTTTTTCACCCAAAATAAAGAGGAGGGGCCTCCCTAGATCCGTTACAGTATTACTTTCCTTTGTGGTGTTGTTAAATTTCTCTTTCCACCTGTCTTCCTCTCTAATATTTAAGTTCTTTTAATGTGAAGTGATTTTACTTTATCTAAAAAATATGTAACATATTGATAGTGGGGCTCATGTGCGATAAAATAAGCAATGTTTCGTTTCAAGAATCATATTTCAGTAGTGTGTTCATGATCAGAACTTCGGTTTGTAATTTCCTTTCCTCCAGTCCTGGGTGCTAGTGTATGACTACACCAAATCAATCTCTTGATGTTCTGTCTGAACTGATGGTTCAAGAGGGCATACACGAATGGGTTGACTGCTGAATTGAACAACACCATCATATCAACAGCTGCAATATGTTCAAAGGTAATGTTGAGAGTTGTAACAGTCCTCAAGACGTATTCAACTGATTCTGCTCCCCAGGAAACTGCAAAGATGAAACTGACTGCCATAGCCATCAAGGTAACACGTTTCCGAACCTTTATGACGCCCTGTGAGTTGAGAGAAGGAAAAGGATCCCAATCAGCTAGGAGAATGTAGTGAAGTATGCTGTTAAATTTATTATGAAAAAATTGACTCTTCTTCACTACAAGGATATATACCACGTTGAATTACCAAAAACCTTTTTAAGATATTACCTTAGAGGAGACTTTTTCAACTAAAGGTTCAGTTGTCATTTAGAAAGAATACTTTCTAATTTTAGCCACAAGAATTGTTTCCCTAAGTCTTCCTGTGTTTAATTTTCCCTTATTTAAACGCTTACTTTTTGCTGATAGTTGATTCCTTTGTTTCCATCGCATTTGAACCACAATGTGCACATGATAATAGAATAAAGGACAACCATTATTCCCACAGAAACGACAACCAAAGCCAACCACGCCAAACAATAAGCCGTGGACATCCACTTCTCATGATCAGGCCAACTCAGAACACAGTTTTTGCTGGTTTTCTCCTTGTCGAAAGTCCTAGCCAAGAACAATGGTATGTTGAAAAATGCAGAGAACACCCAAGCGCCAAGAACTATTATCTGAAAAAGAAAGTTTAAAAAGGGGTTTCTAAATTTTGTGAAATTTTATTTTCACAATGACTATGGTGAGTTCAGAGTTATTCTAAGCTCTTTACCAAGTGATTGGCAGTTAGATGGACCGGTGGCTAAATTGATGGATGCGCATTTTGAATAGGACTGGAAGATTTTCGACATTTTTAGGTGTCCGTTGGTTTTTCAGGGTTGACGAAAAGACTTACCTTCAGTTTGCGTCGTGAAAGATTCTTTTCTCTGGCAATGGGATATAATACTGCGTAGTATCTTTCAAAGGCAATTGCAACCAAAGTGACAACTGACGAAACTCCTGCAACCCAGGCTATATTTCCACCTGTCAAAAGCTTGCAAAGTACCACACCTGCCAATCCGTCCGGGTGACTCATGTTGAAGCTGACGATAATCTTTGGTGCGATGAACAATGCGAATAGGATATCAGATATGGCCAGATTCAGAAGTAAATAATTTATGGGATGTCTGTATTTGAAAATGAAAAATCCAAATTATAAATGATCAAAAGTCAAACTCAGAAACGCTCGGACAAGGAAGAAACAAATCAATAAAGAACATTTTCTCATACTTTGTGCGAAGATATCGTTTTATGATTAAACAAACAAGTGTATTGCCCACAACGTCCATAACAATAAGTATCAATAGCACAGCCGTTATTGCAACAGCAGACGAATCAGTCATGATTAGTTACCGCTGATCACCGGAACTGAAGAGGCAAAAAAAAAAAGGTATTTAAACAGAGTTAAAGCAACAATTTTCAAAAGTGGCTTGCCCACTTTAATCCTGTAAGCTTCGTATTTATTTACAACTCCACAGAGGTTTAGATGTATTGAAAAACGTGATTTGGTATATTATATATATTTTTCAATTTTCAGCAATTCATAAAGTTAAATTTTTAAAGTAACGTTTGAAACTAAAAAATGATTTTAATGAAAAATGTTAAAGAAAACTTACTTGTTTAGGTTTTTCCGGTCTTTTTCGCACTGTTCGTTTTGTGGTCACTTCAATATTGACTCAGTTATAAAAATATAGCTGGTTTAAATAATAAACAGCGGAAGTCTCAAAAAATTGCGAAAATGAAACAAAGCTTTGTCATAACCAGTATAACATTGCTATACACAAACCATTGATCGTAATCTTTCAGTTTGTGAACCATTTTTCGTTTCACTGAACAATAATGTCGAACACTAAAAACAGATCTTTAAAAATTGAGAATATGGTGTCTAGAGCACTACGTCAACATTACTTTATATATCTTTATGTTTCAATTAATTGCTGAAATACTGTCATATTAGTTTAGTAATCATGGTGAGCGTAAAAAAAAAAAATAGAAGATAATTAAGACAACGGAAGTGTTGTATCAATTATTGACCTTCCTCTAGCATTTAATTCAATCACTCGGATGGCCCCGGGTGGTTTAATTCCAATAGCGTCTAGGAGACTGACTGAGCTCGAAAGGGAACCTAAATCTTACGTTACAATCTTACCTTTCTGCGGCTTTGGTCTATAATAGCTTGTCTCCGTTGCGTTGTGACAATTCTGTGAATCCTTGGGCTTTGGATTGGCTGTTATTAACGGTATAACGTGCCAATGCAAGTCAATCAAAGGGAATGTAGTCACGGAATATCAGAATGCTGCAGATATTTTCTGTTTCAGCGTACACAAACTTTTCAACAAAAGGAAAGTGCTTCCTCTTACAGGGAAAAGGTAAGACAGAGGTTTATTAACAGTTTAAGCATAAAATAGATCTTACACAGACACCTACATCGTGACCTCGAAAACGTGACCACAGTCAGTGGAGTTTCCGCGTGAAATTCTCGCCCGTCAGACAACTCCGAAATTTTGTTGATACTGTCCGGGAATGTAACAGATACGATCGAAATTCGTTAAATTTTCTTATCGCTTTTCATAATTGAAGCTTTTAAGCCGGCACACCATCGGCCTTAATACCGTTGCTAAAAATCGGACATAGAATTTTGGAATTCAATCTGTAAACAGTAAGTTTGACATACGAAACTAACCATGTAATTACGTGCTTATCACGAAACAGCTGCTGAATATATTTTCATGCTTCAACTAAATCCATCCTTAGCAGTCAGAACCAACAGCAAACAGTACAAAAGAACATTACAAAACAAATTATAAAAACTAATCGTTCTCGATGAAATTAAAATTAGTTCTCGAAAAAGTTTGCTACGCGACCTTTAAAGACCTGAAATTGATAACCGATTAAGCCGCTCTGTAAAACCACAGTGACTGACTCAAAAGCTTCCTTTCCCTTATTGACAAACAGACGATTTTCTAGCGATTTTCAGTGAATTTTTAACGAACAATCTTCTTGTAAGTTTCAAGACAATTTGAAGATTCAAAATACGTATTACGTACTAAAATGTGGAAGTTATTCACCACAAAATTGGTAAATAGGCCTGAAATGAAATTCTATCTTGTTATTGATTATACGTTGCCTTGCACGTGACTAAAATCTGCCCAGGCGGAGATCCAAAATGACGGTGGCAGTCTTGGCTTAGTTATATCACTCAAAACTCGTTCTCGTTTGTCTCATTTGATAAAGAGGGAATCGTTAATGTTTTCATTAAGACGTTATTGCCTTGATTTTCTAATTTTTACAATGATAGACAGTAAATTTCACTTTTCACCCACATTTACTTCCAACCTTTTCTTTTGAACCAGAAACAAAAATGATATACGTTTAAAACACATGACATCATCCACCCTTGTCAAATGTAATAGCATGATCATTTCAATTTCAATTACTTTGTTTCTTTGCTACATTAGCGAACACTGAACTACTGCTTGTACTCTAGATACGACAATCAACCAAAAAATTCCCTAAACCAGTTAACATTAAACATAATTCAAAAAGTCATGTGTCAATTCACGAGTTTGCTCATAGAGCACTTTGATTAAGTTCTTCGAGTTGAGTGGAAAGTAGTTCACAATTTCGTTACTTGTAATGCATTTTCTTTATTTGAGTAAATTTCCGTTTTGAAGTAATTATAGGGTTTGTTATTTTTTGCCTTCAAATAACAATTCATGTCGCCATTATGCCACTGAAGCAATTTCTATAGTTTGGTTGACCCGGTTTCTCGAGGATTTGGAGAAGGACATCATTTCCTTAATTTTCTCTCTGAACTGTCTGTTTAACAATGCATACACAAACGGATTGACAGCAGAGTTGAACAACACCATTACGAAAGAAACGGAGACTAAGACAGGGCCAATGTTGTAGGATGCAAATTTCCTTAAAACGTAGATGACTGACATGAATCCATAGCAGATCCCAAAAATGACAGTGACAATCATGACCATCAAAGTTACTCGTTTCCGCACTCTGTTAACACCCTGTATCAAAAAAACAAAAAGGAAGAAAAATGAGTCAATTCTGTTAACTACTTGTCTGAACCGTGAGTAATTGTCATCCATATTAATGATAATGGGTAGTTCCATTATTATATACAGAGGTCCTTTGATTGAGCACGCCAAAGAACAAACAATTTTAAACAAGGCAAATTATCACAAAGTATACTTAGTTTTAATCCAGTGTAACAAGATGTGTCTATGGGATAAAATGATTGATTTCATTCGCTCAACAAAACTCGCCGTTTCCGCCATCTTGCTGACGACAAAGTTTCCATCGAGCAAATATTGTTTTTTGTCCTCTTCATTCCACTGCTTGACTAAGCTTCCTTTTAAGTTAGCGAAGGATTTATTGTTTAGAAAAGATTTTTGAGTGTGTGTGTGTATTTTTTTTTGATGAAGAAAATGGCCTTACTTCTGCAGACCCATCCACCCTCTGTCCTCGCTGGCCGCTTTACACTTTCTCAATATCTCTAATCACAGGAGGAAATAGGACAAAGATGTCCTTGCTGATCGTAATCTACTCTCGAATCTCCAACATTATATCTCATTGCTAAAAAATTCTTTAAAAAAATCAGGAAACCAAGAAAAATTTAACAAAGAGCAAAGAAAGGAGATCACTGGTTGAAGTGAGCTGATATGAAAGACCTGCTAACTAATTTCTTAACTCTTACCCTCTGTTGACGAGAAAGAGGTTTGAACCACAAAGTGCTTACAACATTGCAGTATAACCCGGCCATGACAATCAGAGGAAGGACAACCACAAGTAACCAAGCCACACTGTAAGCCTTTGACATCCACTTCTGTGGCCAATTCCATACGCAGAACTGCTTTTTGTTGTCGAAGGTTGCAGTGAGAAACATGGGAATATTGAATGCAACTGAGAAGATCCAAGAAACCAGGACGATCACCTGAAACAGTTAGCCCGGCATATTTGAACACGACTGAGAAAATTTCACCGGTGAAGAAATGGCTGATCAAATCAACCATTTCACTTCAAAAAAATTATTTCCATATTGATGATTGATTCTTTTAAATTAAGTTAAATTGTGTATCGATGACCTTCAGATACCTATAAGAATCTTAGCCAAGATAACAAACAATCTTATCAAAGTCGCAAGGAAGTTGTGCAGGTTTGATACGAACGCAATAACATTAACCTTTACACACCTTCAACTTAGGCTTCGTCAAGTTCCACCTAAAAGGATAAATCACTGAATAATATCGTTCAACAGCAATTGCGATCAAACTGAATATTGAAGAAACTGCTCCAATCCACCCGACGTTTCCACCTGTTACGAATTTGCATAAACCTGCAGCAATCACGCCTTCTGGGTGGAAGGAAGTAAGTCTGAGAAGAACGGAAGGTGCGATGAAAATGGCGAATATCATGTCTGCAATTGCCAGGTTCACGAGTAGATAGCTTATGAGAGTCCTATAGAAATGATCATAGATAAAACAGTCAATAGCGAGACTCAATTGCCACATAACAAAATCCGTTTTAAAGTCGCAAAATTGTCGCTTTTTAAAAACCGTAGGAAATTCATCCATTTTATTTTGCCTTCTTTGTCTTTCATTTTCTAGCAATTTTATTACTTTTAAGCCTTGAAATCTGATTAGTTTCTCAGTTAATTTTTCCTTTTTCAATTACAGGGGAAAAGCTGCGATTTAGAACAAAAATAATACGATCCGTAACTATATCGCATTGTCGAGAGCAAATCCGATTGCAAGGACGGAATGGAATAAATATTGTTATTTCCTTTCGTACAGGAATCAACCTAGGTATCTGTCAAGATATCTGGCGAGCAATTAAACTTTTTCTCTTGTCGCTTACATCGATGAACTTAAGTTCCTTCCTTTAGCGAGTTATTGTTCATCAAATGCAAAATTATCACATAATATCGTTAACATCATAAATTGGTAATCGTAATAACCTCATGTGTAGGTTTCTCTTTATGATCAAACACACAACAGAATTTCCTGCGATGTTTACGGAAATGAGTGTGAAAAGTACCGCGTTTATGGCAATGTTAGTCACTGATTCACTCATGCTTGTATGAAACCTGGTAAAAAGATTTAAAGTAAACAAAAAGGCATTTAGAATGTACTCAAAGAGTGATGAAAACGTGGGACAGGTGCGTGCTAAATATGTAAAATCAAGACAAATTAACATCCCCACAAAGTCTTGATGGGAATTCATTCAAGCCGGAACTACTTTTGCAACTCACTGACGTGACATGGAATATCCAGGGTAGGCTTGGAGTTGCTCAGTAAGAACTAAGACTACTCTATTATTCTCCAAGGTTTTATTTCAATAGCAAACAAATAATATACCTCTTAACTATCAGCAATGATTTACCCATACAAGAAAAGAAACGTTACGAAATAAACAAAAATGGTGAACTTATGTTCACCTAACGTCAAAAGGTTGTTAAATGAAGTTAACTGATGGTTAATAGTGAAAGATGCTCTTGATATCTTTCCAGCTCTGTTTTATATTGAAATAATTTCCATTTTAAAAAAATCATTAGCGCTATAATTTAAAAAAAAAAACATGGAAAATGAAATAAGGCAATATGTATCGATGCATTGGATATCCTCCGCCAAAAATTTTTTTACATTACTTGCAGCAATCCAGACCACTCTAAGAGTTCTCTCAAGCTTTGACAATTACCATGATATTAGTCAAGCTCCACTGATGATAACGCAGGATAACCTTTTACCCTTGGTTTCTTTTCCTAATACATCCGTAATTTTGACATTATTACCCTCAACCTTGGAAGGTATGAATTCGTGTGAAAACCATGGAGAAAAATAAGTCCACAAGCAATTACTACGGGAATCCATTTCGACCTCAACTAAACAGTCCTCATTTAACTGTTGTTTACCCTCCATGTTTACCTTGTAAAAGTATAATTATTGTGTGATTTCTTTCAATTTCAACTCAAGCATATTGTGGCAAAGCTGGTTTAGCGTAAATGTATAAATTATTGTACAACAGCGATAGATTTTGTTAAGAAAGTAATCAGTACTAGTTTTAACGTAGGGAAATCAGCAGAAATCGCGCCGTCTCGATCTCTTTTTCTGAGTGGCAAGTTTCGACTGGAAATTTGTCTTTTGTTATGATCGAAACATTTCCCGTGAACTGTTGCACAAATATTAAATTTCCAATCAAAAGAATTATTCATCATAACAACTTCTACGTGAAGCAGGCAGTGTAGCCTACAATTACTGTAAACAAAGAATCGTCCTTCTATACCGTATAGAACGTGAAATTCTTTTAAGATTTTCGTTATGTATACTGATACAAATTAAAGCAAAGGAAACTTTACTAAATTTGTCATAAGCTGTGTGAGAGAGGATAATTTACAGTGCAATCTTACCTTTTTGCGGCTTTGGGTTTTCAGGGTCTATCTTGCCTCAGGGTGGGCGTGATAGCTTTTTGAATCCTCGGGCGTTGAATTGTTTCGAAAAAGAAGTGGAATTGAACGGTATAGTGTGCCAATACCAGACTAAGGAAATGTAGTCATGGAATATTAATAGGCTACAGGTTTTTTTCCGTTTCATGGTAAAAAAAAATTAATATAGGAGTTTCTGGCCAACTTTCCGACTGGCACCAAAAATGACAAACGCAATATTTAATTTCTTTTTTTCAAGAAAGGGTAAAATGACCCCTAAGAAGAAGTTGTAGTTTTGCCATGATTCTAAGAGAAAAGGAGAGAGAAGAATCATTTGATGACGAGAACGAAATTTTTTCAAACAAAAAAATCCTACGTAAATGCTCGAACTGAAACGAAATAGACGACTTTCCTTGTGAAAAGGACATTCAAAAATTTTTTACCGAAGGAATTTTCTGGTTAAGAACTACTTAAAGATAATATTTCAATTTATTTCAATCTAAGATACAATTTTTGTTGCTGCTTAGATCCCTGCTCCAAATCTGGGCTTTTAAGTTTGTCAGTTTTGTTCTTTTAACAAAGTCGGCAAATGCAGCTCTCTAATGATTTTCTCTTCTCCTACCGATCATTGATATTAATCCAAAGATGTCCAGAAGTAAAACTGAAACCAAAAGGCGCAAACCGAACTGCACTAGATCATGAATTGTTTGCTCTTTCCAAAGAAATAATATCAAAGATATCTGCGTCCACGATAATTGGATTCAACGAATGACTAAAGCCGAGGGGCGCACTTGAATTTTTACTTTAGCTTATTTGGCACAGTTGTGTAAAGTTATTTTCTTCAGAAATTGTGTACACTAATGATGACTATCGATCGATGAAAACGCGACATTTACGAAATTTATTGTTGTTATTGTTTTTACATACCACACGTTCTGAATAAGAGAAACACAAAAGGAATAACGCATAATTCAACCTTCATGCCATTTCAAAATTGGCTTAAAACAATAATTAAACGAAAAACAAGTATTCAAGTGACGGTATTATTTCAGTTGAAGACTAAATATTCAAGCCAGAACGCTATAAAGCTGACAGGGAACTTGAGTTCTACATGAGTGATCTCAAAAGCCGTTGCAAAAGGATTGTTCCAAGGGTCCTGGAAAGAAACAAGTTAAGAAAAGGGAGATGATAAACTCTATATCTCCATAACTCTATCATGCCAAAGACGCAAACTCTGTGGTCTCCTCGACCTTGCTTCCTGAGCAGTCGGAGAAGCACATCATTTCTTTAGTCTTCTCTCTGAACTGACTGTTTAACAATGCATACACAAACGGATTGACAGCAGAGTTGCACAACACCATTATGAAAGAAACGGAGACTAAGACAGGGCTAATGTTGTAGGATGTAAATTTCCTTAAAACGTAAATAACTGACATGAATCCATAGCAGATCCCAAAAATGGCAGTGACAGACATGACCATTAAAGTGACACGTTTCCGCACTCGGATAACACCCTGAGAAAAGAAAAGAAATTAAAAAAATTATGTTTAGGATTGATCTGAACAGTAACAAGTTATTATCCACTTCGATCACGATAAGAGGAAAAGAAAAGAAGAACACTTGATAAAATTATTTTTATCAGTGAGTTGTTCCATTATTTTTCACAGCGATCCTCGAAACGAGTAACCCAATAAAGTAATTATCAATGACCATACTTAGCCTTCACCCAGTTTAACAACGATTCTCTATTTATCAATTTGCATAATCTTATCTACCCAATAGAACTCGAAGAATCTGCCCTCTTGCATGGAAGCCATATTTCTGAAACATTGGCTTTCTCACATGCTTCCTATTTCCCCCTTTTTAAGTTGACGAAAGATTTAATTTATACAGATGGTTTGTGTTTGTTAGTTGTCGTTAACCCTCGGAGAAGATGAAGAAACTGGCATGAATTCTGTAGCTCAAACTGCCACCAGTTCTTGTGCTTCTTTAATTGCTCTATTAGAAGCAATTGAGGGAATGACAATCAGAATTATCCTAATCTACTCTTGAATATCCCACGATATTCTTCCCGCTAGAAAATTATCTTACAGACTCATGGAATAAAGTAAAATTAATCAATAGAAAAGAAATGGTATTATAGGTTGAAATGAGTCAAGGGGAAAGATCTGGAAACATATATTTTTACTCCCACCCGCTGTTCACGAGAAAGGTGAATGCTGTGGTGCTTAAACCATAAAGTTCTTGCAACACGGGAGTATAACCCGGCCATGACAATCAGAGGAAGGACAACCACAAGCAACCAAGCCACACTATAAACCTTTGACATCCACTCCTGTGGCCAATTCCATACGCAGAACTGCTTTTTGTCGTCGAAGGTTGCAATGAGAAACATGGGAGTATTGAATGCAACTGAGAAGATCCAAGAAACCAGGACGATCACCTGAAACTATATTTGAGCACGATTAAGATCATCTCTGTGAGAAGACGTAGTTAACCAAATTAAATTAACCGTTAAATACCATGAAAATATAAATACATTAATTTTCGTTTTGATCATTGATTTCTAAACCAGTTTTAGTTAGAGGAAGTTTCCTTGGTGAAGATTTTGTAATTAAAATTGGCGATTAAAAGGAACGAAGTTTCGATTTCTTGGAGGTCATTTTCAAGTTACTGTAGAATATTCAAAAATGAACGTATAAATATAATATTCTAAAACAAGTATTTTGTTATTCTAACTAATGACTTTAGCAAAGCTGTAGGAACGTGTACGCGGTTCATTCTATTTTTATTGATAAGTTTGCAATAACATTAACCTTTACGCACCTTGAACTTAAGCTTAGTAAAATTTCTCCTGTTACTAAAGGGATGCATCACAGCGTAATACCGCTCAATAGCAATTGCAACCAGACTGAAAATGGAGGAAACCGCTCCAATCCACGCAACATTGCCGCCTGTCACAAATTTGCACAGACCTGTAGCAGTCATGCCTTCTGGGTGGAAGGAAGTAATTAGTCTGAGAAGAACCGCGGGGGCAATAAATATGGCAAATATTATGTCTCCAACTGCCAAGTTCACGAGTAGATAATTTACGATATTTCTGTAGAAATGATAATACAAAATACAGTTAATAGCGTGTACGGTACCTTTTGT